CTACTTTGCTGCTGCTGCTGCTACTTTGCTGCTGCTGCTGCTGCTGCTGCTGCAGGAGTCCCCAACGCGGAGCCTTTCAAAGCGGGCTCTTTGGTCTCCGTTGATGTCACTCTTTTCCTCAACGGATTTCATGGGGACTGCTGCTCCACTGCCCTTTACCTTCCGCCCCCGAGGGGGGCCCCTGGGGCCCCCCGTGGGCACCCCGGGGGGGCCCCTGGGGGGGCCCCCGGGGGGCCCTTGGAGGGCCCCCCTGCAGAGGATTTTGCTGGCGGGTACGAAATTCAACAGAAAAGGAAACTTCTGGAAGCTGCCAAGGAAGCCACAGAGAGAGGGATTGCTGCATGCAAAGAGGGGGCCCCGTATGTTGCTGCTGCTGCTGCTGCTGCTGCTGCTGCTGCTGCTGCTGCTGCTTGTTGCTGCTGTCCGCGGCATTGCTGCTTCATCTGCTCCCCCCAGCGCTTTGGCTGTTGTTGCCGCTGCAATCTCCTCTGCCACTGCTGCTGCTGCTGCCACATCTGCTGCTTCACCATCGCCACCTCTGCCTCTGCTGCTGCTGCTGCTGCTGCTGCTGCTACTGCTGCTGCTCAGGCTCTCCGCCGTGGGCCTGGCCATAGAGTCCTTCGTGGCCTCTCGAGGCCTTTTTTGTCCGCCGCACTTTTGCGGCCACGGCATTGGCCGCAACTTCCACCAGCCCCCCCTGGTGCGCCTTCCCCAGCTAGCTAGCTAGCTAGCTAGCTAGCTAGCCAGATATATAGCTTGCTAGCTAGATAGATGTATATATGTATGGCTAGCTAGGTAGATAGCTAGCTAGATACCTGGCTAGATAGCTAGCTAGATAGCTAGCTAGCCAGCTAGCTAGCCAGCTAGATAGATAGACAGATAGATGAATGGCTAGCCAGTTGGCTAGCTAGCTAGATGGACAGATAGATAGATAGGTGGCTGCTGCTGTCGCTCGCTAGCTGGCTTGCTGCTGCTACGGCTAGCTATCTAGGCTAGCTAGCTACTCTGGCTAGCTGCTGCAGTAGCTAGCTAGCTAGCTGCTGTGGTTAGCTAGCTGCTGCAGTAGCTAGCTAGCTGCTGT